GGTGCAGTTCCACTCTGTCCTCTAGGGGCGCTGTGGGTCAGAATCCCCTCCAGGCACTGGGTTTGGTTTGGGCTTTGCTTCTGTGAAGGTAGGAGCTCTGGTGGTGCAGTGCCTAAGGCATTTGACTGCTAACCAGAAGGCTGGCGGTTCAAACCCACCAGCCACTCCTCAGAAGGCAGACTGGTCAATGTACTTCCATAGAGATACCGCCTCGGAAACCCAAAGCGGGTCGCTATGAGTTGGAACTGACTCCATGGCAGTGAGTTTGGCTTGGTTTGGTTTCTAATCTTTACAGAAGCAGACTGCCTCATCTTTCTCCCCTGGAGCGGCTGGTGGGTGCAAACCTCCGAGCTCTGGGTTGGCAGCCACGTGGTCAATCGCTGCAAGCACCAGAGCTCCTGTGCTATAGATGCTGTTAGGTGGCACTGAATTGGTTCTAACACATAGCGACCCAATCTGTGTACAACAGACCAGAACACTACCCATTCCTGCGTCATCCTCACAAGCGTCATGCTGGAGACCGCTGTTACAGCCACTGTGCCAATCCATCTCCTTAAGGGTGTTTCCCTTTGTCATTGACCCTCTACTTCATCCAGCACGAGATCCTTCTAACAACATGACGAAAGTGTGTGGGACAGAGTCTGGTCATTCTCACTTCTAAGGAGCATTCCGGCTGTACTTCCTCCAAGACAGATTTGTTGATTCTTCTAGCAGCCCCTGGTACATTCAATATTCTTCACCAACACCACAATTCAAATGCATCAGTTCTTCTGAGGTCTTTCTTATTTATTGTCCAGTTCTCACATGCAGACGAGGATATTGAAAATACCATGGCTTGAGTCAGGCGCACCTTAGTCTTCTAAGTGACATCTTTGCTGTTTATCCCTTTCAAGGGGCATTTTGCAGCAGATTTGCCGAAAGAAATACGTCATTTGATTTCCTGACTGCTGCTTTCATGGGTGTTGATCATGGATCCAATTAAAATGTGATCTTCGACAACTTCAGTATTTTCTCCATTTATCATGGTGTTGCTTCTTGGTCCAGTTGTGCGGATTTTTGTGTTGTACAATGACAGACAGATATAAACGTAGGTGAAGTGAGGGAGAGGGAGGAACAGGGAGACAGATGGCAGGACAGGGAGACAGACAGCAGGACAGAAGATGAGACACAGGAAGAGAAAGGAAATGTTGTTGTTGTTATTTGCCGTCGAGTTGGCCCTGACTCATAGCGACCCCTCCTTGGGTTTCCGAGGCGGTATCACTATGGAAGTAGATTGCCCAACCTTCCTTCCGAGGAGTGGCTGGTGGGTTTGAACCGCCAGCCTTCTGGTTAGCAGTCAAATGCCTTAGGCACTATGCTACCAGAGCTCCCAAGAGGAAGGAAATGAAGACAGAGAATAAAGGACCAAGGGACAGGCCTGGTGAGGAACTTCAAAGAGAGGCAGATGGGGGATGGGGCAGGAGTTGGACTGGTTAGTCCCTAAGGGTCCAAGGACAGAGAGGAAAGGGGAGGGATGGTAGGCACAATGGAACAAGGCCTTAAAGGCATCCTGGCAGGGCGTCAGATGTACCGGGGAGTCACGAGGCCCCTTCTCTGCCCTAGGATGATCTGTTACGAGGCATGGACAGCTTCTTCTCTGCCCCCATGGACCTCTGGGGCCTCCCCAGGAACTACCACCAAGAGGAGAACCAGGAACGCCGGCTGGGGAACAGCAGCCTCTCCAGCCACCGCCAGATCGACAAGGTGCCTTTGCCAGGAAGTCCCTCCTGCAGTCTCACCACCATCCCGCATGCTGCAGCGTGAGGGCGGAGGAGGAAGGTGGGTTTGCTCTCACTGTCTCCTCCTGTCCTCACAGATGACCGACAACAGCACAGGAGAGGTTCTGATCTCGGAGAAGGTGGTGGCGTCGATCAAGCCGGCAGAGGGGAGCTTGCAGGGGGACTGGAAGGTTAGGACGCGGCCCCCAAAGTGTCCGGCCCCAACATTTTCTACGAGTTAGGAAGCAGGGAAGGAGACCTGACCCTTCCCACCTGCCTTGTGTGTGGGACTTCGCTCTGGGTTGTAGCTTTGTCATCTGTCGAAAGGAACTAAGCGGCTCGCGGAGGCGACGTTGACTGCCTCAGAATACATCCCAGTCTGCTTGCTGTTGAACGCCGGCCAGTGGATTCCAACTCCTGGCAACCCCACAGGACAAAGCAGAGAGGTGCCCCAGAGGGCTCCCGGGGGGCTGTCATCTTAACGGAAGCAGACTGCTTCACCTTTCTCCCGGGAAGCAGCTGGTAGGTTCGAACCGCCGAACTGTTGGTTGGCAGCGGAGCACTTTAACCACTGTGCTACCGGAGGCCTCCTGCAAATAGTTAAGTGCTCGGTACTAACTGAAAGGCTGGCGGTTCAAACCCACCTAGAAGACAGGCTTGTCTTCCTCACCCTCGGAAGACAGGCCTGCAATCTGCTTCCCAGAGGTCACAGCCCCGCCCCCCGTGGGGTTGCCAGGCGGCAGAATCAACTCCATGGCAACCACCTAAAAGCAGCAACAACCAGTGATGGTGCTGTTGCCGGGTCCAAACCACACCTGGGGCAGCGAGGGCGCACCTGTGCTCCCTCCGGCTTCAGACTGCCCGCACTTGACCCCACACTGTCCTCTGGCGCCCGTGTTAGTTTTGATCCAGGATTCTAATCCAGGATCACGTTGCATCTGCGGTTTTGGGTCTTCAGTAAGCCCCAGGGCTTTGATTCCCCCAAGCGCTTTGTCCATTTTAAAATGCTTTCTAAGCCTCAGAGGCATCTAATCCCAAAGTGCCGCACAATCCCAACGGCACTATGAACCCTAAACCTCTTTGTATGCCTCCCTTTTGAAGCTCCCCTCCCCAAGCATGTTTTCAATCCCCAAACCACCCATAAACCTGTCTATTTTTTTAGTTCGAACTTCTATCGTTATTTTATTTGCAGTGACATAAAAGGTAAATTGGTGACTTCCTCTTTTTTTTCTGGAATTTATAACATGAATAACTCATTCCCACTGTTAGTGGTTTACCCTCCCTTCCCCACCTGCCCCTGGTAACCATCAAAGAATATTTTTTGTGTTTGTGAAATGATTTTCTTGTCTTTTTATAATGTTGTTGTTGTTGTTATGTGCCGTTGAGTCAGACCCGACTCATAGCGACCCCTCCTGGGGTTGCCGAGGCGGTATCACTACAGAAGTAGATTGCCCAACCTTCCTTCCGAGGAGTGGCTGGTGGGTTTGAACTGCCAACCTTCTGGTTAGCAGTCAAGTGCCTTAGGCACTACGCCACCAGAGCTCCTCTTTTTAAAATAATAGTCTTATATAAGATTTATCCTTTTTGTGATTTTTTTTAACTTTTTATTGTGATTTGGGTGCAAGTTTACAGATTAATTTTTTCTTCCATCCAGCAGTTCATAGGCATTTTGTTTCCCAACGTTGATTGCAAGCCCCCCAGTGTAACAGCTCTCCTCCCACTTCCTCCCTGTGGTTACCTTTTCCCTGTGCATTCCTGCCCCCTGAGCTGTCTACCTGTGCAAAGCCTGCCCTTCTGCGCTCCCTTGGGTGACTGATCTCAGTACACCGCCTCCCTGCTGCAATGACATTATACGCCGGTCTGTTATTTGGCTGACAGTTTAGCCCCAGGAGTACCACAGAGGGTGGCTCGGGGACCATAGACTCAGGGGTTTCACCATTCTCTATCAGACCAATAATCCTGGTCTTTTTTTATGATTTTGAGTTTACTTTCATTTTTCTCCCACTCTGTCCAGGATCACCAATTTTGATCCCTTTCCGAGCGGTTGACAGCGGTAGCCGGGCACCATCTAGTTCTTCTGGTCTCATGGGCATATAGGCTGAGGTTCGCATGGTCCACCAGTCCCTTGGACTAATTGTTTCCATGCGTCTTTGATTTTCTTCACTCTTCTCTGTTCTGGACAATGGAGAGTCCAAGGGTTACATCTTCGATGGCCACTTGCAAGCTTTTAAGACCCCTGTCCTTTGGTGGGCGACTAACCGCACTCCGCAGAATGGCCACTAAGTGCGTCCGTGTCGTGACATGTTCCACAGGCTCATCATTGTTCTTTAATGTTGCACGGTATCCCATTGTGTGTATGGACCAGTATCTTTTCTTTCTTAATACACGTTTCTTAGAGCAGTTTTAAGCCAAACCAGACCAAACTCATTGCCACAGAGTTGGTTCGGATTCACAGCAACCCTATGGGGACAGAGTGCAACTGCTCTATAGGATCTCGTTGTTGTTGTTGTTATATGCCGTCGAGTCAGACCCGACTCATAGCGACCCCTCCTTGGGTTTCCGAGGCAGTATCACTATGGAAGTAGATTGCCCCATCTTCCTTCCCAGGAGTG